GTGCATGTGGCGACTGCACACACCTGTGTTGAATGGACATGAGCAACACATTTCAAAGAACCACACGCACACACACGCACGCGCACACACACACACGCGCGCGCGCGCTCTCTCGCTCTCTCTCTCTCTCTCTCCACCCCAAGTCTCCTTTGTATCTGTTTCTTAGATGTTCATAGCAGTTATCCTGGGCAGGAATTCAGGTGCATGTGGCGACTGCACACACCTGTGTTGAATGGACATGAGCAACACATTTCAAAGAACCACACGCACACACACGCACGCGCACACACACACACGCGCGCGCGCGCTCTCTCGCTCTCTCTCTCTCTCTCTCCACCCCAAGTCTCCTTTGTATCTGTTTCTTAGATGTTCATAGCAGTTATCCTGGGCAGGAATTCAGTGAAGAATTAACCCTGATTATATCACACTCCTGCCTTAAATTGTTTTTACTTATGGCTATAATTTTTGTTTTCCAGTGTGGTCCCCTCACTTCAGTGGAAAAATTAAAAAAGGAGTGGATGTAACAAACAATACACTGAAGGAGCAAACTTCTTTTAGGCCTTGTCTACACTGGCATGTTTTGTCACCAAAAACTGCTTTTTGGCAACAAAACAGTGAGAGCATTTATGCTTCAATGCGACTTGTGTCAGGAAAAAATCCAGTTTTGGCAACAAAAAACTTCCAGTCGGGAGAGGATTTTGTCTTTTCCCCTCCCTTTATTGTCAACAAAACGCCAGTGTGAACTCTGCTGCTTTGTTTTGTTGAGAGAACTGGCTTCCTCCACTACCCCACAATGCCAGTCCTGGTGGCAGTGCTCAGTGTTTTGATGTCTGCTGCCCAGGCATGCATGTATCTGACAGCTTAATGAGCTGCTCCATTTAGGGAACAAAGAACAAATTATTGGAATATTTCTGTTCTGCCTTGGTTGGAACATAGCAACAGGCAGACTACTGTGTTGGAGAGACTGCTGTGTTGCTTTGGCATTCCTCAGCATGGAGACCTCACAAAGCTACGAGGGAATCCCAAGAAGTGCAGGGATCAGCTTTGCCTTCCAACAGCACTTCACTTGAGCTACGGAGTGACATACGGACCTTGCACAAAATGGGTTTTTTGCGCAAAGAAAAAGTCCACACTGCTTCTTTTTGCACAAAAGCCCCTTGCACAAAAAGAAACTGCAGGAAATATGCTAATGAGATCGTGACATGTTAATGAATCTCTCATTAGCATATTTTCTGCCAAAAAAACTGGCCGTGTAGACGTCGCCTGTGGGATGCTTACCCACATTGTTTTGCTCTGTCGACAGGGTGATAGCCACTTTGCCAGGAAATGTCAACAGTGGGAGTCAGAAGAACCCATTTAACCAGTTTTTGCTTTTGGTGACTTTTGCGTGTTGACAGCACTTCCATCACCAAACCTTCCCAGTGTAGACATAGTCTCTTTGATAGAGAGATGTAGATTAGGCACACCGAAATTGCTAATGAAGCAGGGATTTAAATATCCCACTCTTCATTAGCATAAACATGGCAGCCACTTTTTTTTTTTGAAAGTGAGCATTTTTGAAAAAGGCAGTCTAGATGCGGATCTGTCGAAAACAAACCCTTTTTTGACAGATCCTGTATTCCTCAAAAAGTGAGGGGTTTTTTTTTCCGAAAAAAGTGGCGGCCATATTTATGCTAATGAAGTGCGGGATATTTAAATCCCTGCTTCATTAGCAATTTTGACATGCCTAATCTATATCTCTGTAGAGAGGTGTAGTCTAGACACAGCCTTTGATTCCCTGCAATCATTTGAGAGTTTTATCAATAACTCAGATACATTTTCATTAACATGATATTTTATTTAACAGGTTCTGCTTTAGATCTACATTTTAGTGACATAAATGTTGCATCCTTAGATAAAGAATTAGAAGATCAAGAAAAGAGTGACCTTGGATTAACAAGTAAGAATTCAGTTTACAAAAGTTATCCATTGTCATGTATTTATTTAAGGTCTTTTTCTTCCCTATCACACTCTTCAGAAGATTTATCTTACAGCTAAGACTTATAGCAACTCATAAAGATGTGGACAGCTATACTGGAAACGTTAGCCTTTATCTGGCTGTTGACTCTGCAAGGATCCAATTTCAGATCCAAAAGCAGTGATTATTATTCTACAATCTATTTAGAGGGAAAAAATTGAACAAGATTGCTTTAATGGAAAATCATTTTCCAACTTATTCACAGATTCAGTCTGTTTCTCAGGAAAGTTAAGACCATGGTTCCCTTATATTTTAAACTTCCTGTTTGTATTATATATGCAAGGATTATTAATTACATTGAGATTTATCAAAGACAGTGCTCATAGTAAGCAAAACCTAAACATCTTGATTTAAAAAAGTTGATTTCTTTGTCACTCATTAAGGAAAAACAAAGAGGAAGAAAACAATGCAAAGAATTTAAATGAGTAAAATAATCATATTTAAAAGAAGGAACAACCAGTTAATTTGAAAGTCTGATTGGCTTTGTTTTACAGTACTCACTCCTACATATTCCTCTACATTATTTGCTTCCTGTTTAGAACTGTGAGAGGCTGGTTCATCTGATTGGCCTGTTCTGAGAAAAGAGAGGAAGAGACAACACAAAGGAAGAGCAGTGTTGGCGGGTGGAGGTGGGGAGGAGAGAACTTGGGAGGAAGGATGAAGGGAAGAAAAACATCAAGGAAGAAACAATTTTAAAATGCCAGCCTTTCTAGATGAAAACAGAAAAGGAGAGAAAGAATAGAAAATAGGATGTTAAAACTAAGCCACTGTAATTTTGCTAAATATTTATTTTGACATGCATTTCAAGGTGATACATTATTTTAATGTTATTTTCTTAGCAATATATTATTGTGGTGTAACCTTACCCATGCTCTCTTTGCATATAGCACATATGTTATGTTGATATTTACCCTCAGTCTTTCTTAAACTTTTAGTAGTGGGAATACTGAGTTACTAGTGAGAAGGGAACATGCAGGGGTGAGGGTCCTCTCTTGACCATACAGAAAGAAAAGGCTTCTGAACCACAACAGTAGGATAATTTACAGAGACAAAAAAAGAACTCTAGGTGCTTTGCAGATGGTAAGACATACTCAAATGTGCAAGAAAATGTAGATAATGGAATGTAATAAAATCAGAATGATAGAGATCAGACACAATTTTTCCTATCAGTTAATTGCATTAATTGTTGTTAAAGAGAGATTAACAATATTTTACGTTATGTGTCTTTGTTAATACTTATTTGACAGACGCCTAAGATTTTGAAAAGGGAAGGGACTGCATGGGAGAGTATATTTTAGAGGGGAGAAGAATAAAACTGAAGAGAGACTGGAAGGATAGTAACGACGCACATGATACAGTGGCGTTACTGTGTGGACATCTTGTGATCTGTCATAGCTTGATTCCCAAAATAACTAGTATCACCTTTACATTAGCTCTGACAACTTGGTGTTAAAAATCCAGGTTTTACAATCTTTGTATCCTATAATGTTTGCTTGTACTGTAAAATACTTGGAATGTCTTTGTTTGGAAGGCTTTCTGGAAATGTGGTGCATGAAGCCTTCTAGTCTTGTTCAGATTTTGACTGAAATAATTCTTCACAGGGCTAAATTTCCTTTTATCTCAGGTACTTCTTGTGCGTGTTTCAGAGATGGTCTGAGTGTCTCTTCAATGGGATTGAATGTGTATAGTGTCTACATTTATATGTAATACAAGTTGTTTACAAAAGCAGTAAAATTTATTAACCTTTTCCTAGGGTTGCTTAGTGACTCTATTTTTTTTTGTACAGGTCAAAGGTTACTGGGAAGTTCAGCTCCTGTCAATATTCCAGGTTCTGTTGCTCGTTCCTCATGTTTACATTCATCATCTTCCCTTTCAACCTCTCCACTTAGTTCTCTTTCACAGTCGCTGTCTCAGTCTTTTATTTCATCTACTACAGCTCCTCACCAACAGCAGATTCAGCCTTTGAAATCAGAACATAGTATGTTAGGCACTTCAGCCTCTTCTCATAACTCTTTAGGTAAGTCATAGGAATGGATAATTCTTTGTATATTGTAGAAAAGGAGTACATGACAAGTCAAACAGATTTTCAGCTGAAGTCTGTATACCTTTCCTGTTGTGATCTCTCATCTGGAAACCAATGAACAGTATAAGACATTAATGCCTCAAAGTGCTTCCTATCTAAGATGTATCAGAAAAACAAATATATGATTGGGTATGTGTACACTAGCCCCCTAGTTTGAAATAGGGAGGGAATGAGGTGTAACAGTTAACTTGAACTAAGGACTTAGTTCAAGTTAACGTTTGACTGCCGCGTGTAGCCGCGGGCAGTTAGTTCTGACTAAGGGGATTTAAAAATGGCGCCCGGATGGGCAGATGCAAATAAAGCCCGGGATATTTAAATCCCGGGCTTCATTTGCAACTTCGAATGCCTACATTAGCCTCCCTAGTTCAAACTAGGGGGAAAGTGTAGACATACCCATGTAGAACAAAGTTCAGGGAATGGAAAGTGAGGAGAGATGATTTGCAATGGAGGAAGGAATAAAGCATTCCTGAAATAGTTTTAAAGAGGGATTTGAAAGAGAAAAGAGGGCACTTGTCACTTTATTTGTGAGTGTTCTTGCTATAAAAAATAGTGTGACTTATACTCATAGCAAAGAATGAGAGAGAGCTGAGCTGAAAATATGAAATTTTGCAGGCAACAACTACTTTTTGGACTAGAAACAGATTCTAGTCTTCCTGTTCATATTTCAGGCTGTGCTTTGTGTGGCAGCAAACAAAAACCCACACATAATGAGGTTGGTGGAATGCTCTAAATATTTTTTAAAATATTTTGCTTAATGTTGCATCTCTGAACATAGGTGTAAACATTATTACATATCTTGCAGCTAAAAAAATATAACTGTCTGCTTAGTGCTTTTATCTAATTGTCTAGCTCCCCCTGTAGTACATTTTATTAGAGATGTGCAACATGTTTATTTTTGTGTGTCCTATGTTTGGCAGGTTTAAATGGTGTTACTGGGAGCATTTGGGACTTCATAACTGGGAGTTTCTCTCCTACTCCATCCTCAATATTGAACAGTGGTACTATGCCCTCAACAAACTCAAATACCAGTGGAAATGAATTAGCTCTCATTAGACAGGAACTTGATGACACCAATCGAAAAATAAAACAGTGGCAAGATTCTTGGCAACAAGTAAAGGAGGTATAGAAATAATGGTGACACTGAATTATAACGTTTCTTTTCTGAAGAACTTTTAATAAAATTGCCTTCTAATTGTCTTTATTTTTTCGAAGGTATCTTTCATTGTAATTTGAATTTAGGGGGTTTATTCCATTTTACCAAATTATTAATGCTGAATTTTGACTTTGCATGTCTTAATTATGCTGGAGGCATGAAGAAAACTGATCAGTAGCAGCCAAATATGAGAGAGCCAACTTGTTACTTGCCTTATATCATTCTGCTTTTATAGGCAGACACAGACAGAATAGCTTTAGCAACCCGCTGGTTGTTCCAGGAAATTAGTTCTTACTCCGGAGGGCATCACCTTCTGGTGGTGTCTCACGTATCTTTGCTCCATGTTCTCACTCCAGACCCGCGTTTTCCCAGGTCATGGTGTCCTCTTTGGGACACTGCCCTCCAGTAGTGCCTACTAGAGTGATCTCTTGCCCCCTTCTGGGGAGATATCAGCAGTCCTGTGTCTCTGCTGCCACTGCGGCCTTCAAGGTCTAATCTCTTACCTCAGGGGCAGGCCATAATCTATATTGGCCTCACCTCAGTGGCAAGGTGTGGTGCAATCGGTAAGAGAGGGATTCAGACCCACCCGCTCATCTGGGTCCCACTCATCTACCCCTCTGGTGGAAGCCTTGTCCTGCCCTCTTCTACTCCCTTTTACTGTCTCTAGTTCCCTGAGCCACTTCCCCTGTGACCCTTTGCACCCTCTTGGCTCTTATAGCAAAGCCAGCAGCCTGGCAGGGATCAGGTGGGAGCCTCCCTCTGTAGCCCCCTGAGCCTGCCCAGCCCTGCTCATCCAATGGTGTCTTCTCTGGGAATCAGGTCCTGCACCTTCCCTACTCAGGGCCTAACTGTTCACTCTCTGCTGAACAGCTCCTTTTATACAGGGCTGGCTTAGCAAGCCACCCTCTGGTTGCCGCTTTAAAAGCCTTTTCCTGATGGGCCCGGGCTATGCACAGGCTCCCTCCATCCTTCTTTAACTCCCTCCAGCCAGTGTGGGGCAGTCACCCTACCACAAGGGAGTATGTTTAATAGTTGCCTCTGCAGCCGTTTCAGCAACTGGTGGCATGTCTACCCTCCAATACTTGTTTCAGGATGTCAGTAGCAAGCGGGAGTGGAGTTAGGTTGGCCACTACTAGTACATGGTCCAGCCATAAGGCATAGCTGGACATTTTAGCTGTCTCTATAGCATAGTGTAAACATCTGCCTGGCTTCTCCATGGGTGCATTTAGGGGTAGGTATCATAGAGTCATAGAATACTGGAACTGGGAAGAGACCTTGAGAGATCATCAAGTCCACCACTGCCTTCATGGCAGGACCAAGCACCATCTAGATTATGCCTGATAGATGTCTAACCAACCTGTTCTTAAATATATCCAGTGATGAAAATTCCACAACTTCCCTATACAATGTATTCTAGTGTTTAACCACCCTGACAAGAAGTATTCCCTAATGTCCAGCCTAAACCTTCCTTGCTGCAGTGTACTCCCATTGTTTCTTCTCCCAGCACCAGAAGTCAAATAGAACAATTTTTCTCCCTCCTTATACAATCCTTTTAGGTACTTGAAAACTGCGATCATGTCCCCTCTCAATCTTCCTGTTTATAAACTAAACAAGCCCAGTTCTTTCAGTCTTCCCTCATAGGTCATGTTTTCTAGATCTTTAATCATTTTTGTTGTTGTTCTCTGGATCTTCTACAATTTCTCTACTTCTTTCTTGAAATATACCCAGAACAGGACACAATACTCCAATTGAGGCCTAAGCAGTGCAGAGTAGAGTGGAAGAATAACTTCTCGTGTTTTGCTCACAACACTCCTATTAATGCATCCCAGAATCATGTTTACTTTTTTTGCAACAGCATCAACACTGTTGACTCATATTTAGGTTGTAGTCCACTAAGACCCCTTGATACCTTTCTGTAATACTCGTTCCTAGACAGTCGCTTCCCATTCTGCATGTGTGACACTGATTGTTCCTTCCTAAGTGGAGTACTTTGTACTTGTCTTCATTAAACTTCATCCTGTTTACTTCAGCCCATTTCTCCAGTTTGTCTAAATCATTTTGAATTATGACCCTGTCCTCTAAAGCACTTGAAGCACCTCCCAGCTTGCTATCATCTGCAACCTTAACAAGCATACTCTGTATGCTAATATATAAATAGTTGAGGAAGATATTGAACAGAACAGGTTCCAAAACAGACCCCTGCAGAACCCCACTTGTTATGCCCTTTCAGCATGACTGTGAACCATTAATAACTAGTCTCTGAGAATGGTTATTCAACCAGTTATGAACCCACTTGATAGTGGCCTCATCTAGGTTGTATTTCCTTAGTTTATTGATAAGAAGGTCATGTGAGACCATATCCAGTGCTTTATTGAAGACTAGCTATACCACATCCACTGCTTCCCCCTTAGATATCTTATCAAATAAAGCTATCAGATTGGTTTGACATGATTTGTTCTTTACAAATCCATGCTGCCTGTTACCTATCATCTTACTATCTTCCAGATGTTTGCAGATGAATTCCTTAATTACTTGCTCCATTAAGGTAGTAAAGGGCTTTTTTTTCTTCTCTTTTCCTAGCATATTTGCTCTGGACACAGCAGATGTAGATTTTTCTGTTGTTAAGAGGTAATTAAATATATTAGTTTTACTATATTTTGAGTTTCCAGACTGCTGTAACTAACTTTTGTCATCCAATTATGAAGTGAACTATTCATATTTTTATTTATACAGCTCCATAAATATGCATAGAGACTTACAGAGAAGTATATATGGTGTTGTTTAAAATCTAGGTTAAGACAAAAAATAAAAAGAAGTGATAAACAATGGGTAGGGGGAGTAAGAGAAAGAGATGGTGACAGTAAGATAATGTAGATGAAGGGATGTATTGGATGTACCTTGAGGGCTTTTATAGTTTACAAAATACTTGTATAACTTTCTGCAAATGTTTTTGTCCCAGGCATGTGATGCATGGCAAAAAGAGGCTCAAGAGGCAAAGGAACGTGCTAGAGTGGCGGATGCTGACAAAAAACTAGCTCTTCGGAAAAAAGAAGACTTAGAAAATAAATTGAAAAAGCTGCAGGAACAATTTGATGTGTGTCTATCCACTACCGTACTTCATATGAAAAGTTATGGCGATATAGAAAAAATACCATTACCAAAGCTTCATTCTTTACAAAATCAACTGCATTCAGATTTAGAAACAGTAGATGAGGTAAGTGTGTCTGGACTGTGGATATTGTCAGTTAAACAGTATTATAAAAGATGCTGAATCAGTGTTTCATTTCAAACTAATATAGTGTTAAATATAAATAATATTTTGGTCTGAAATATGCCATAGTTGGAATTTCCCCAGTCCAACTGATTTTTTTTTTTTAACTTTGGTGCTCAGCTGTGACAAGAGTGGCAAGCAACTTCTGATATCTTTCAGTGTGAAAAAACAGATTAAAACATGCTTTTAAATACAATGCACTAAAGAGCAGCTATGTAAATAAAGAGCTTTAAATATCTGGAAAGTTTGTAGTGAAGTGTCCTGTTTAGAAACTAATACTAGGGAGAAAGAAGTGAGATGGGCAGCTAGTGATGGTAAAGTAGATATAATTTTAAAACAAGGAGTTGCTTTCCTTTTCAGTATTATCTATGAGGTTAGTTTAGTTCATTTCTGATCTCTCTTGGTATGATCTCATAATTGATTATGGGTGAAAAATTAGAGGCTTATTTTTAGAAATTGGCTTACACAATCTGTTATTTAGCAATATGAAAATGGCCTAATCACAGATGATGATTACATTTTAAAGATGCAGTCTTTCTGCTGCAAGTCTGTGGTAACCTCCTTCATGTCTGAGAAAACAGAACATACCAACCTTTTTTTCCAGACTGCTGTAACTAACTTCCCATTTTTACACCATGTTACTAAAGAGACCATTGAAGTTTTTTGATGAAATGCTCAGCTGAACAGAGGCTATGACAGCCAGAGCACAATTTCAGACTTGCTCTTAAAATGTTCTAAAAAAATCTAAACAAAAGTTTTATATATGTATTTTATCCCCTTTGAATTCCCTAGCACTGAAATTTCAGAAAAACATAAATCTGAGTTAACCACTGTCTTCATGAATGTGACTGCTCTAAAAAATTTGACAATAAAAGAAAATGTACTGAGTATGGAGATATAACAAGGCAAATTGATTGAAACAATAGTAAAAAAACAAAATTAGCGAACACATACCGTATATTCCGGCGTACAAGACGACCTCTGATGTTAAAACCCATCCCCCAAAAATCAGGGGTCGTCTTGTATGCCGGGTATACATCCCAGGCGCGCCTGGGATGCCCCGCCGCCGGCTTCCCCCGAGGCTTTGCAAAGCGCCTGGGCTGCCCCCCCGCCCGAGCCCCTCCGCGGCTTTGAAAGCCTCAGGGGAAGGGGGCGGGGGGGGGGGGGGGGGCGGCGGGGCGC